TGAATGAATGAATGAATGAATGAATGAATGAATGAATGAATGAATGAATGAATGAATGAATGAATGAATCATTTTAAGTAGGATTTATGATACTTTCAGTACAATAGGTTGTCTACTTATATACTATAGTTAAAGCAAATTACAATAATTGTGGGGAATCACATTATTAAAAAAATGGTCACAAAGTTTGTTCTAAGACCTTGTGTACTGTGTAGCTAATTTTTTCTGTTAAAATCTAGCGAAGGATTGATTTGAAATCAACAGATGCTGCATTCGATTCTGAGGATGGGCTCAAAGTGTTCCAGAAAACTCTGTAGCTGAAGAGATTCTTGAATCTGGATCTCCATAATTCTAGATTGCAGCATGTATCTAGCTATGGTTTTTTTTTTCATTCATCCCTTCTTCAAAAGTATTTTTGTCACTGAATTTTTCATTTTGGGTACTTTAGCAAACAGAATCACATGTAGACATGCTTTTTAAATACAACTTGCTTTATGAAACTGACCTTTATATCCCATTCAAATGGAAGGAAAATGAGGACAGTGGTGAATGTGTTTACATGAAGAACTTGAAAGATTGCAATAAGGTATTCTTCATACACTCTTTCCAGAGTGTAACCCTGTTACATTAGAGCAATTGATTTGTCTGGAGAATTTCCTACAGAGAAGCTCATTAACACAGCATGGAGCTGAGCTGTAGGCTGGACCTTGCTTGGCCTTCGATGCAAGAGCAAAATCACAGAAGTTTAAAATAGTGTATCATTAAAAGTGTGTTCCATCCCTACGCGTGTTCTGAAGTATCCATTCTTCAGAACAACGTGGTGTCAGCATCCTTTGCTTTGCTGATCTTAACAAAACATTCCATTTAAGGATCCCTTTGATTTGCAAAGGGAGACAAAAGACTAATCAACAGAAGCAGATATCCTTTACCTCCTCCTTTCAGTCATTGTCTTAGAGTCCAAAAAAGGGAGCACCCACAATTCTTTTCCTGACAGCCATGCACACACAAAGCATCCCTGTCGGAGACTACAAAGCAAGATTTATCATTGACAGTTGGCTGTAGACTAATAAAGGGGCTCATGGGAAGTTTATGTTTTAGGCTGGGTTTTCAGTTCACGCATGTCCATCTTGGTTGGGATTTGATAGCACCGAACTAGTTAAAATCCCTGTTTCTGTGACAAAGGGACCACTGCCATCAAATCTATCTCTTGAACACATGGCATTCTTTTGTTTCTGGCTTGTTTGCATAGTGGCGATAAAGTTAGCTTGTCAAAGATGGATTTACATTTGTATAGTAGATCACAGTGACTGGCATAGTTTGCTGCACCAAAAATTAGGCTCTTGGAAGAATTTAATTTCAGTGTAATAAGTGGTTAATTTATTTCAGAAAGAATAGCTTGCTACACATTGGACTCTAAAGCATGTGATTAGTCCTCACTTTTTTGTTTGAAACATGCACACATTCAAATGTATTTTCCCTTAATCATGGCTGAGTCCTCTTGATATGGAGGGATCTATCTTTCTGAATCAAAGATACCCACTACAAGGGATTTTACATATTAAATGTGCCCCCCAAAAAGTGATATTGGGAAAAGAGGTGGCAGGAATAACAGAAGACTAAGAGGGGAAAAAACAGGACATGGTGGCTAAGTGGCTAAGATGCTGAGCTTGTTGATCAGAAAGGTTGGCAGTTCGGTGGTTCGAATCCCTAGTGCCGCAAAATAGAGTGAGCTCCTGTTACATGTCTCAGCTTCTGCCAACCTCGGCGTTTCAAAAGCATGTAAAAATGCAATTAAAAAAATAGGAACCACCTTTAGTGGGAAGCGTTCTGTGCGCCTTCGGTGTTTAGTTGTGCCAGCCACATGACCATATCTTCGGAGAGTGCTGGCTCTTCGGCTTTGAAATGGAGAGGAGCACCACCCTCTAGAGTTGGGAATGACTAGCACATATATGGGAGGGGAACCTTTACCTTTAAGGAACAAATTCCTAATATTTGAAACTTTATGAGCAAGATGCAGTAATTGGCTGATATATATGTGACGTGTGTGCTACTATCATGTCTTTTTCTTTTAAGATATGAAATAGAATTCCTGTTTTGCAGACAGATGCAACTCTTTAAAACAACTGCAACCCATAATGCTATGCATGTGAACCCCCCCAGCACGCGCACATGTGCACGATAAGCTACCCCCCACTTTTGCCGTGATTTTTTCACCTTCCCCAGGCTCCAGAGACTTTATAGGAGCCTGGGGAGGGCAAAAATAGCCCCCCCACCCCCGGATGTTCTCCAGAGACCTCAGGAGCTTCCCTGAAGCCTCTGGAGGGCGAAAAAAAGACCCATGGGGACCCCGGAAGTTCAGGAATGGTGACTTCTGGTTTGTCCATAGGGCCATTTTTCAGGGAAGCCTCCTAAAGGCTCCAGAAGGTGAGAAACAGTTCTATGAGCAAACCAGAAGTCCACCCCTGAATTTCCAGTTTGCCTGTAGGGCTGCTTTTTTGCGTTTTGGAGGCTTCAGGGAAGCCTCTGGAGGGCAAAAAAACGGCCTTAAAAGAAGGCTGAAGTCAGCTGGCCAGCTTGCACATGCGCCCTGGCCAGTGGACAGGGCAACGCCTCGCGTGCCCTGACAAATGGCTCCGCGTGCCACCTGTGGTACGCATGCCATAGGTTCGTCATCACGGTCCTAGGTCATAATCTAAAGAAAGGTGTTGAGGTATAGTAGAATGTGTCCATGCATGACTGAAAACCGTTTTTACTATCAATCTAGAAGATCTTGAGCCCTGCAGAGCCCTAATGTGAACTCATTTGCCAGTGATTTCATACCACTTAAAATCAAAT